TTTTAAGCAAATAATTACAAAAATTTTAGAATTTCAAGTCGTTGTATTAAAAAATTCAAAATGTGACCAAAGCTTATAATTTTAATAATTTATTTGCTGTACTTTGATTAATCCTGATGTAACATTTTTTTGTAATTTGTAGAGTGATGAACCACCCCAAAAAATACCAAGGAGTGAAGAAGCAGAAATAACTACTATCGAGAAAAATAATATCACTTTACTTACTACTCTGTAGTAAGTAAAGACCTAAATGAAAACCTAAATTTATCAGAAAATAATATACCTCGTAATATGCCTGTATATGATGTATAGACTTCTCTTAGATCAAAATAAATTTTAGTTGAGTCAATAGTATTCGCTATTGGTTTAAGAAAAGTGTCTCTTTAATCAAGAAATGTCCCTTTTCAGTCAATAATTTTTGCATGAATCAAAGAGACATTGTTCTTGTAGCAAGAACTTCTTTGCATATTCATTTTTGGTCAAGAGTGAAATACTTTGGAGAGATAGATTCTTCTATTCTCTAAAGAAATTTTTTAAAGCTTATGAAAAGATAGTTAATGCTTTGGGCAAAGAAGTTCTTGGCCCTATTGAAAAGCGCCAATCTTTTGGGTCAAAGTCATATATGCATTTCGACTGACAGATCTTTTTTTTCAGTGTAGGTAAATTGTATTTTTGGTCATTCCTGGGTGATGTCTGTCAGAATCTGAGTCGTTGAACAGATTTTATCAAATCGATTTTTATGAAATGCCATCCAAATAAACTCTGTTTAATAATGATTATCCAGAAAAAGGTCTGTTTTTTCTGCACTGGGAGATAACGACTTGGGAGTTAACCAGCCTTTTGATTTTAGAACTTTCACTTTGGTAAACCCTACTAGTGCCTATATTTTCATATTTTTTTAAACATTCTCTAAAACGGTACCGAAATTTATCCCAATAATCTACTTCTATCCTAAGTTCTACAGGGTGAGTCTTAAATAACTTCAAATATTTATAGGGCTGGTAGATCTCGATGAAAGAAACATATTTTCTCTTTACCGTTTTTGAAATAAATCCAAAATAACCAAGTTATTTTAATTTAAAAATTTCAAAAAAAAAGTATTATTTCCTAAAATTTTGAGAACCATTGGATCTTTTCTGGATTTTCTTTCTTGTTAATTTAATCTACTACCTATGTTGCCATATTATCAACAAATTATGTTTTTTAACTAAAAAAAAACTCCAAAAGTTTCTTTACAACAATTTTATTATGTGATGGATTTACAAACCGACTTACTAAATGAAAATTCATACATACATTGTTTTGTACGTAATATTTAATGACAGATAGTAATGAGCGAGATTGGCCTTGGTCTTGGTCTTGCACAAAAAGCAAGACCAAGCTTAGCGTTTTATCTGCAAGGCCAAGACCAAGAGCGACCAGTGCATGACTTCCGTCCAAGATCAAGATCAATCATGCAAGACCCTTGCGGTTCATTCTTTTTTTCACTTTTAATATGATATAAGAAATTACTTATTTGTTCAAAATTATTATTTTAATTTATTACAAATAGAGTTTTTTGTCGGGAAATTATAAAAGTTTACAGAAAGAAAGGCTGATTTGATATAATATATTGAAAAATAAAAAAAATGTCATATATGGGCTAATCACTTCTTTCTTTAAAGTTTTATTTGCTTTAAATTACTAAAAATACTATTAATTTAAAGATTTTCTATGTAGAAAGTGATGCCTCTAGTAAAAATCCAAATTTAAAAATTGCAAAAGTTGCAAGAGTCTTGCAGCGAGATAATGACCAAGACCGAGACTGCAACACAAATACCAGGACCAAGACCAAAGAAGTCTTGGTCTTGCCTTTGCTCATCACTAAGTTTTATATTTAGGAAACAAAGAAAAGAAGAATTAGTTAATGCTATGAAAAGTTTTTAAATAAATTTCTAAATTCGAATCATAAGTGAAATCTACCAAACGCTCCGGACATACATTAAATCTCCCGATTTATATTCCTGCAGCTTCCACGACCAATATATTACAACTCGAAAAACAACGAACGCAAAACGTCCAAACATAAATCCTAATAACCGCGGCCAGCGCTGCCAGCAATAAAAATACGACTCTCCATACGTTCCTGCTGCCGTTGCCAGCTCAGTTTTTCGAAGACCAAACCACAATGTCCTTTTTACTTTACCCCCTCCTTCCCCGTTTTGCTCTTCCTCCTCCAAGTCCCCCACCCGACGGCATTCCTTAGCTTAAGCTCATCCCTCCAGCGCCGAGGAACATCATCCCCTCCCTCAACCCTATCGACCGAAAGAAGGAGCAGGAGCTGGGCCGGCGGGGAATTCGCACCGCGGCAGGATACTCGCTCTTATCTAAGCGGCGCTTTGGGTCCCTTACGTGTGTTGCGGGGTTGCCAGATCGCAAGGAAAAATTTGAGTCAATTCAAAATAAAAAATGATTTAAAAATATATGTTTATGAAACTTAAAATAAAACTCAAGAACCTGGAGAGGAAGACTCCATCCGTAACCTGGAACGGGAATCTTCCATGGGTCACGCGAAGAAATTTCTGAGGACTTACGACCGAGAACTAACCTAACCAAACTGGCGACATGGAAGGGTGTGAAAAAGAATTTTACCCCAGGAGGTAGCCCAACTGTGGGAAATCCTCCCACCTCCACCGAGGTAGCCGAGCCCCATTCGGATTCTGGGGGGGGGGGGCTCATTTTCACACGTCGATAGTGATCCAGCAGTGGTACACGTGGCTGCTGGATCTTCCCAAGTCACAAGTGCACAGGAGAATGCTCCCCAAGGCAGCAAAGGCGCCGGGAGTATCTCCTCTCGACTGGAGAATATGGAGATCGGAAGGATAACCGATGATGACCTCTCCATAGACTCCGACTCAGAGAAGGGGCTGCTCAATCCGGAAGCCGACGCAGGCCAAGGGAAAGGCATCAAGAGAAAAAGTCTAACGTCGTTCCAAAAGACCAAAAAAGGCTACCGGAACGCTCAGACTTTTTTGAAAAAGATGAGTTTGAAGAAGGAGGAAGACTTGACCGAACGGGAAAGAAACCTCATCAAGCTCAACAAGAGAAAAATCTCCCAATTCGAGGCTGGCCAACAGTCAAAGAAAGTGGAGGTGATTCCTGAGGAAAGGGAGAAGCCGTCCTCCAAATCGGTGAGAAGGCTTCAGAGGTCCGACGAGGGAGAAGGAAATGTAGCAAAAAGGGCTAAACTCTCGACTAGCTTAGATTCGCCGGACGAATGTCAAGTCGCTGTTATTGATCGAGCTGATCTAGATGGTAAAATGACGCCCGAAAGGTGAATGGCGGTTGAGTCGAGGATCCTGATGGCTATCGCCGATAAGGAGGGAGGCAGCAATGAGGAAGTGATCTTCGACGGGGCTGGATGGCAGAAAGGTGTCAAAGTTGTGGGTTGCAGCAACAGGTTGTCGCGAGATTTCCCAACGCAAGTAATCCGCAACTGCAACGACATCTGGCCAGGAGCCCGACTAGAGGTCATTCCCAGATCGCAACTGCCCCTAAGAAAAACGATCTCATTATGGATCCCTCCTCCAGTCCCGGAGAAGGATTAGACAACGATGAAGATTTTGGCGAGACAAAATAAGAGCCTATGGACACAGGACTGGAGGGTAGTCTCATCATCAGTCGCCAGTCCAAACGGAAAAGGAAGGGATCTAGTGATCGCCATTGATGAGGTATCACTAGATCGCTTGAGAAAATCGGAAGGAAGCATCAAATTTGATCTCGGGGCTCTAAAGGCGAGGCTTCCTAACGACAAGAATGGCACCAAGTCATCCAGGGCTGCGGGTGGTTCAGATTAATCTGAACCACTGTGAGGCCGCGACGGAGGATTTGAAGCTGTTCATGAGTGAAAAGAAGGTGGACGTGGCCTTAGTTCAGGAACCATGGATCGCAAGAGACAAAATCCAGGGACTGAGGTCAAAAGAATACATTCTACTTCACCCACAGATTACAGGTAAAAAGAGAGCGTATATAGTAGCAAGAAGAGCACTAAAGCTTACCTTGCTACCCCATTACAGCACAAATGATCTGAGCGTGGCCACGTGCGAGGACCAAAAGGGGTTCAAACTTCTACTGGTCCGAATGACGAAGAGAATCCCCCGCCGGAAGCGGAAATCTGGTTCGAGAAGCCAGAAGAATGGACCAACAGCTGGTGATAGGATGTGACGCCAACGGCCATCACGTCCAATGGGGAAGCAAGGATATCAACGAAAGAGGTGAGTCGATAATGGATTTTATACTTTCTAATAACCTTACTATATGCAACAGAGGCAACGTGGCAACGTTTGCAAATAAAATTAGGCAGGAAGTTTCAGATCTAACCTTGACCACGGAGGGCGGGGTTTGATAGTCGAGGATTGGAGGGTTGATCTGGAGAAATCCTTCTCCGACCATAGGAGAATACTCTTTAAGGTTAAACGAGAAGTCCCGCTTGTTAAACCCTATAGGAATCCCAAAAAGACGGACTGGAGTAAATATGAGAAACTCGTGAATAGGTATTCTAGCGAAGGGGAACTAACTCACATGCCGGAGAAACCGAATCGCGACTATATAGACAATACGGTTGAGAAATTAGGAGAAGTGCTTGTTAGAGCTTTTAAAAATTCATGCCTTGTAGCCGACCCCGTAAAAACACCAAACCGTGGTGGAACGCGGAGTTACGGCAGACTAGGACAGGAATAAAGAAGCTATACAATAAAGCACAAAGGGAGAAAACCAGTCCATCAGGGACACCAACGAGGCGGCCAGACTGAGGAAGGTGTGAATCACAATAAAGTAATTTAAAGAATATCCAAAAAATCACCTAACAAGTGAAAAAAATCCTCATCCGGCAACAGCGCCTTGTGCTATTCCTGCCGCTTTTCAGCTCGCGAGGGCGCGGGACAGGGGGAGGGAAAAGGACTGACAAGAAGCGCGCGCACGAAACAACAGACGATCGCGTCGCAGTGACATAACATGACAGCGGGCCCTCATTGGTCGCCGACTGCCGCCCGGCCGGCTGTATAGAAAAGAAGAAGAAGCGGAGGACGAACGAAGAAGAAGAAGAAGAAGCGGTGGTGGAGTAAAGGGGAGGAGGTGCAGAAAAATGTTGTTTAGACGAACGGGTGACAGGGGATCGCCGCGCGAATAGTCCTGCTGCCGGCGAGAGTTGGCCGCTCATTGTCTTACGCGTCGCAGGACGTTGCCTACATGACAGCTTTTTTTATCATCAGCGTGTTAAACAATTCGTAAATAAAAACATTATATACCTACGTAACCTAATAATATTTTAAACAGGACTCAAGTTATGATATTTTAAAAAACGAAAATGATTTGTTGTGCCAATTATTGACAATACTGACAATTTTTGGGGGTGACTGTGTCTTCCGGTAAATATGCGATCAAAATCGGTGGCTAGAAGAGTGACAGCTCAAGGTAAGTTTGTTTTTATTTGCTTACCTGTCTCCTTATCTGAAACTGTCGTAATTTAATTCTCTGTTCTTTTTGTGATATTTTTTTTAATTTGAAGAATCCTCTTAATGACTTTTCTCTTCTAACACCAGCATATTTCTAGTTTTTTTTATTATCAATTTTAGTAACAATTAATTCAGGTTTCTGAATTCAGTGTACCAAAAACTGACACATTTAAAATTTTTATGTTGATTTTGACTGTTCTCTTCTATTACCAGCATTTTCTAGTTTTTTCTTAAAAAGCAGATAGAAAATATTTTATCTGGATTATATCCATATTCATTGATATGTGTGACAGCTAAATATATGTTTGTTTACTTTTTTCTTACTTTCTTCTCTTAATCTATTTATTTGTGATTGTTAATTTTTAACTGTTATTGTTAATTATCCTATTATGTTAGCAACAGATCACAATCAAACTTTGTTAACTGAAAATAGTATTGTTATAAACACTTTGTGATATTACAAATAATGATGTGTGATATTTTAGTCTTTTACGTAAAACTGTTCTATATACGTGATGTAGTATATTAATCTCAAATGATACAATATTTAACTATAATATATTAATATATTAAACGATATAAATAAAAATAATATTAATTATATAAAAAAACAATATAATAAAATGACGAATAATAAATGAAGTATCTAAAATACGGACATATCAAGGTAAGTATTTTTTAATGTTTATATCTACTTAATAGTATTTTTGTGTAAACATTTTTGATATCTATACATTTAATGTTTTAAATTCATACTTTAAAATTTATAAGATTCTTATAAAAATGATTATATATAGGCATTAGTCCAAAATGCATAATATGATCTCAAGAAATCTGAAAATCTTTGATGATTCTTGATTACACACAACCACTACAAGTTGACCATTAATTTTTTTCCTAAACCATCAATACATTTTATATTTGATTTTTGATTCACAAAGATAAGTTATTGAAAATATATATTTTTAAATTATTTGGGTTAATTTTATAATCTAAATTTTCTAAAGCCTCGTCTATACGTAAAGTTTTACCTGCCAGACTTATCTGTGCAGTCAAAATTTACCAAGTAAAACCAATACTATATCGTTTAGATATATTTAATGATAATTACCAAACGATATTATTTTCACAATAAGCATTGCATGTTTAGATAGAAATAAAATTTAAATTGCAAATACAATTTTGTATATTCCATTTATTTTTGTTTTCAACTTCCAAACCAAACACAATGATAAAACCGCAGGTAAAACTTCCAGTGTGTGATGCTAGTCTTTAATCCGTCTTTCCTGCCAGGTAAGACGGTAAGACTGTCTTGAGAACTGCTTTATCAGCTTTATAGACGGTTTTCCATTTTAGGCGGTGTATATAGTATGTGTATGTATGTTTTTCGACATTTTGAGAAAAATGCTTCGTTCATAAAAATTTTTGCTTGTTCTAAAATTGTTAATCCCGTATATACTTTTTTACCAAATTTTCATACTGTTTTAGGAAAAATTAGAAAAAAAAACATGAAAATATTGTTGAACTTTTCAAAGTCCTAAAAATTAAAACGCGTTTCTATAGTAATATAATTTCATTTTCATTCTTTGATAGATTGTTGTGGATAGAATTTTAATTAACGTCATATTTTTTGTTGTTTTAAAAATGTTAAGGAAGCCCAAAATTTATTTAGTTCAATGCTACGGAAAGAGCGATAGTAGTTATCGGAAAATGTAATACTTTAACAATACCAAAAATATGACGTTAATCAAAATTAATAATAACCATCTATCAAAAAATTAAATCGAAATTATATTACCATAAAAACGCCTTTTTACTTTTATGATTTGCAAAAAATTCAACAATATTTTAATGTTTTTTTTTTCTAATTTTCTTTAAAACGGTATGGAAATATGGAAAAGTATAAACGAACTATTTTAGAATAAGCAAAAATTTTTATAAAGAATGCATTTTTCTCAAAATGCCAATAATAATAAACTTATTCCTATTGTAAAGACAATCCGGGGACATACTGTAGATTGCGCTTCACAAAAAAAAATAATCAAAGTAAGTAATTTTGTTTGCTGCAAAATCACTGGAACTGAAAATATTACAACCTTTTTAATAAATATAATAATAAAAGTATAGAAAATATTAGCTTAATATTTTATACGATTATTGTTACTATTTCTATACATCATTCTTCTTTTCACATTTTGTATGACTAAATTATTAAATCATAAATTTTAATTTTAATTAAAAAAACTATATCATATATCATGCAAATTATCCGCAGAAATCGAACGAATAAAACAACCATCGTAAAATTAACAATGCGTCGTTTGCAAACACAATCTGCTTTGTTTTGAAAAATACAGAGTGAGAGGCTTCTCAACAGAGCTGTCAATACTCAGTACGTATAATTTATGAAAATCACTTAAAATGAACTAATTATATATTTTTTCTTGCATTTTTGCTTTTTTGAGAAAAAAAGAGCATGGAAAAAAGGACATAAGAACAAGGGCATCATGGACAAAAGAAGAAACACGTAAGGTAAAGTCTGACAAAGCTTTGCATCTGACCAGCGCCATTTTAGTTCATATATATTTATGCGCCGAGATAAGGCAACACTGCCCGATGCCAATTTAAAAATCAAATAAAGGCAAACGAGGGAAAGAATATACGATCGAACGTGCTTATTCTCGGTTTCGCCAGACCTCATTAACCGTTATCATTCGAAATTATTGCGAAATTTTTGCGTTATATTGGAGGATTTATGGTCCGCTTCGAGATGAATAGAACAAAACACGATTCGTGGGAGTTTACGACTGTTCCTTATCTGTAATTGTCCCACGTACGCGTCGGTGATGGTGTTGGGAATAACAAAGGTAGAAAGAGAGATGGGAAGCTGTGTAAAACAGTACTATAAAAATGCAACAAATATTTTAATTAGTTTTTTAATTACATTTACATGGAAATTTTATTTCTTTATATATTTTGTTCATATTTAAACAGAAAATGGACATAATTTGTCAATAACTTTCTTATTCGTGATTTATATATTTTAGTATCTATATATCATAATATACAGGGTTGTTCACCACATACGACACGGAATATTGTAGCTAAACGATTAGATTTTTACAAATTGTAAGTTTTGAGTTCGTTGAAGGACTATTAGAGCTACAATTTAAAAATATTTTTACAAGATACACAGTGTCCCAAATAAATAAAAAATATCAAAGTTGTATTTTTTTAAACGAAACACCCTGTATATTATTACATTTTTAGTTTCTACGATTAAAATAAACGTAAATTTGATTAAGGTTCATTATACTTAAACCTTACCGTTTATGAAATATTTTCAATTTTGTGAAATTGCAGTATGAATTTTAATTCTTCATTTCTCCGAGGGTATCAAAGTTTTTAATACTAAATATTTACTGAAGTTTATTTATTGATCAGTTATTGTGTTGCAATAATAAAAATTTTACTACCTTATACAGAGTGTCTAAATATTTATTTTAAATAATTATTAGTTCTAAACGGCAATAACTTGTTTAATTTAAATAGAACATCCTGTATATTTTATGAGAATCAGATGCACGATTTAATTGTCTATCAAATTGTATTATACCATTTTTTACCTATCTCTTCAAGTTTCCGTAGAAAATTTATTTTCTTGTAATTTAGAACTCATTTATCAATATACCCATGGAATACTGACATTTTAGATTATTTTTAAAGATGTACCAAATTTTTAAAGAGTACAGATACTAATATTGTCGATATAGTTTGTTTATTTCATTAAAAAATAAAAAAAACTGTTTAAATATTTGTTAAAGAGGACCAATTAATATGATTCCAGTATTCAAACTACATTAATTTACTGTTTGCGTTGATTAATAATAATTGCTCCAAATACTAAAAAACTGAATTATGTATGTGTATTAGACAGTGTGGTAAAAAAACTAGCACCTTAAAAATTATATTTTATTTTTTGACAAATGCTTATTTATAACAACAGAGACTTTCATTTTCATAACTCATTATTATATTGATTTCTGATTCAAATCCACATTTATTTAGAATATTTTATTAACGAACACAATTAAGTATGGAATTAATTAGTATTTGGGCTGAAATACTGATGGTATATTTAATTAATGGTATACTCTTTTGTAAAGATTTAAATAGTTTTCTTTTTGCATACAAATGGGCTAGTAATATTATCATTTTACTAAAAACGATAATATTACTAGCATGTACATTTGGTACATTTGTTGTTTTAAAAACAATTTAAAATGTCAATATTCCATGGGTATATTGATAAATGAGGTCTAAATTATAAGAAAATGCATTTTCTACGAAAACTTAAAGGGATAGCTAAAAAGTGGTATAATACAATTTGATAGACAATTAAATTGTGTATCTGATTCTCATAAAATATACAGGGTGTTCCATTTAAATTAAACAAGTTATTGCCGTTTAAAGCTATTAATAATTTAAAATAAATTTTTAGACACTCTGTATAAGGTAGTATAATTTTTATTATTGCAACACAATAACTGATCAATAAATAAACTTCAGTAAATATTTAGTATTAAAAACTTTGATACCCTCGGAGAAATGAAGCCTTAAAATTTATACTGCAATTTCACAAAATTGAAAATATTTCAAAAACGGCAAGGTTTAAGTGTAATAAACCTTAATCAAAATTACCTTTATTTTAATTGTAGAAACTAAAAATGCAATAATACACAGGGTGTTCCATTTAAAAAAATAAAACTTTGATATTTTTTATTTATTTTGGACACTCTGTATTTTGTAAAAATAATTTTAAATTGTAGCTCTAATAGTCCTCCAACGAACCCAAAACTTACAATTTGCAAAAATCTAATCGTTTAGCTACAATACTCCGTGTAGTATGTGGTGAACAACCCTATATATAGTATCATTAATGATTATTCAAAATGATGA